GAAGAAGCTTTCTATTCAGGTGTTCCTTATATTTGGGCATAGTCTAGATCTCAGAACAAATTTGTAACCTGGGGTGGTTAGTTCTTTGAAAATAGAGTGACACATTTTGCAAACAACAAGAAAAACAGGTTTCAAAACTGAAGGCAGAGAAGCCAAGCCAGGGGAGGATGGGTGTGGGGCAGGTGGATTCATAATAAGACTGAAAACATTTCTCTTGGATATATTCAAGACTGAATGGCCAAAAAGCAGTATATGAACAAAAAGCAATGTTATTTTCATTGCTCAAATGGCTGACACTTTTTTTTTTCAAGAAAGGGATTTGTGCCCTTTGACGTGCAGTGATATGCATACCCTTAATCTCCACCTCTTTTCTCTTTCTCTTTTCTTTATTACTTCACAAAGAAAAGAAAAATGCAAAGAAATAAGGTAAAACTAAAACAGGAAGGGGTAGTAAGACGCAAACAAAAATGCATTTGGTTTTGATATAAATGTATTAGTTGTTGCTCTTGAAAGTGTTTCCAAATAGTACATATGGTTAGACATTTTCTTGGGTCTTATTACACCAAGACTTCACAAAATCCTTTAAAAAAACAACAACTAGCCCTGCAAAATTCACTTACCAATACACAAATGTTTTGAGAAAGATGTGATCAACTCTCAGTGTTGTCCAGTTTCACTTCATTTCATCTCCATTGGGGTGGAAAAACTTGGGTCCAAGGGCTGGATGCGGCCCTTCATGTCTCTCTATCAGGCCCTTGGGACCTTAGGTCATGTTCTCATTACCACGTCCATACCCCTCACCAGTCCTGCTCTGAAACCACCTGTTGATTCCACCTGGCTGGAACATGTCTGTCAAGTGTGATAATACCATTTTGAGGGGCAGAGCCAGCTCGAGAGGCCATGGGTGTAGCAGAGGCCAAATGGTCCCATTAGCCCCTGCCATGGGTTTGGATTGCTACCAACAACATGAAAATAATGACCGTGGGTAGAAAATCCCATGATCCCATGGGTGGATTTTGGAGAACTAGCCCCAGAGTGAGTGGGGCACACAACTATGAGTATTTGTTTTGGAAAGGCAGATTCTTCCCCTGACCCTGCCACTCAAAGCAAACAGAAGCATTTGTGTCACACCACAAATGAAGAAGTATTTTTGTATAAGCATGTTTACATCTGGTGGTGCACCCAACAAACTCATCCTAACCACAGCCTTGCCGTTTGGACTTCCAGTGGTGACATTTTAGCTTCTTCCATGATAGGGGAAAAGTTGTGCATTGCTGTGAGCCAATAATCACTCTTTCCTCAAATAAGGAAATTCTTTCCACAAAGTTGTGCAAATCTGTTTGCCATGCACAACAAGGTAACCTTAGCCTCAGGAATGTGCCCACACATGCTCCCCCCCTTTTGAAGGAGAGATATGTTTTCTCCTGCCTTCTGTTTTCATGCCATGCTTATCTCTCCTGCCTCATGCCAATTTCCATTCAACCGCGTATCTTTCCCTCCCTCCCTGTGCTACGTACATGTGGGTGCCAGTACAAATTCACTCCCTGTGCCAAAGGAAGTTGGTCCATGAAGTTTCAAATCAGTGTCCCAGAGGGCAATCATGACCACCAACAGTGCTTCTGGGCAGGGTGGGAGAGAAGCTGCTATCTATATGGCTTGGGCCCAGGCCCAAAGAGTGTATCAAAGATTGTACAGTGATACCTCTGGTTACGAACTTAATTCGTTTCGGAGGTCCATTCTTAAACTGAAACCATTCTTAACCTGAGGTACCACTTTAGCTAATGGGGTCTCCCGCTGCCGCCGTGCCGCTGGCACGTGATTTCTGTTCTCATCCTGAGGTAAAGTTCTTAATCCGAGGTACTACTTCCAGGTTAGCGGAGTCTGTAACCCGAAGTGTTTGCAACCCGAGATGTTTGTAACCCGAGGTACCACTGTATCTGCTTTTTAAAACCTGACTGGGTGTTAAGATCCATGTGTGAGCCCCTTCTCTCAGTCCCATCAACATCAGAGGCCCAGTTGGTGGTGACACAAGTATTTTCTGTGTCTGCTCCCATATTGTGGAATTCCTCCCCAAGAGAGGTCAGACTGGCTCCCTCTTTGTTATCTTCCTACCAGCAGCTCGAGACTTTCCTGTTCAGACAGGCCTTAGGAAACGAAGGGGTAGAAGATGCTGACCACTGGGCTGCTGTCAGAGCAAACTATATTTTAATTGCTGGTTCTTAATGTGTTTTGATGTATTTTAACTATAGTATTTAACTCGTTTGTTTTTATTACTTTGTATTTTTAAACGATGCTTTAAATGCCGGAAGCTGCCTTGAATTCCAGCTTGGGAGAAAGGTGGCATAGGAATACATTAAATATGGGAAAAGTAAACATTTTCTCTAGCCCACAATGCCTCTGAAATGATGGTACACCCAACACTCCTTTGTAAACAGTCAAAATCCTGCGTATTTGCTGCACAGGAAGGTGAGGCCACTACTTGGACTGGGCTGTGGAGGGACAGCAGGGACTGTAGGGACTGTTCCCCTTTGTTTTGTGCTCCACACTGTGCCTCTTAATCTAGTCTGCTGGTGCGATGGAGAATGCTGTTCCATCCCCACTGTTGAAATAAGACTCCACTGCCAGTTGGCTCAAGCTCTGTATGTGGAATGCAAGGGTTGTAACTTGCCCTTTGCCTCAGGCAACAAAATATTTGGGGCCGGTTGTATGTATGTAGAAGGGAAGTGGGGTGGGACTGCATTCAGTCCCTCTGGTCCCCTTACTCACCGAGGAACAAAATGTTATGATTCTGGTTGTTTTGCTTTTTAAGAGGGCTATACGTGCGCATGTCAACTTGATTGGATCGGAACCAGAGCTTTTGCAAATGAGACTAGTGATTTGTTGCCTGCTAATCAGGTGCCCTTTATATGCTCCTTAGTATCCCCTTTGCCTGTGAAAATGTGTGCTATCTGTAACCTGTAAAGATGAAGAATAAATTTGATTCAGGTTGCATTTAGATGGGAGCATACTGAATTTGCATTTTCTGAAACAGTTCACAAAGCAAAACACAGCCCGTCTTCGAAATCCGCACTCTCCAAATTTTGCAATGACATTCCTTAGCCAAGTAAAGTGTATAAAAATGCACATACTGGTGTAAAGTATGTGTATGAGTACATATATTAGTGAAACTAACATACAAAAATGCATTATATTTGTGAAAATTTATTTGTAAAAAAATGTGTGGATTGGCACAAATGCATACAAAAGTACATATATTTGGAGAAATTTGCACCAAAATGCTGATGAACTTTCATGAGGAGTTGAAAAATAATAATTAGAAACTGATATGGAATTGTGGGGAACTGAACTTAAGAATGGAAAAATGAGAAACTGAAATTGACAAATTTGCCCACCTCTACCTTGAGGCAAGCAAAGAAAGATGTGCCCCTTATTCAGAATTGTTCCAGCTTGATGCGTCTGCCTTGCACATATTTTATTGAAGCCATCCAGATGAGAGTTTGCTTTCCAGCAGTGACAGCCACGGAACATGTGTTCCATTGGCTACGAACATTCCATTTGACATCTTTCACGTTACATTGCAAGACAGACTTTGATAGGAGCTATCTGCGGTGGAGGAATTTATGACCATTTTACTGTCTACAGCATGTTTACATTTCAAATCTGTGTCTAACAGTTGCTGCGCTTACTTGTTATGTCTTGCCTAAAGTTAGCTCAGAAACTCTCAGAGCTGCAAACAGCTTCTTCTTTACTGGTTTTTCTGCATCGGGGGACTCGGATGGCCAAGGATGGTGGATAGACAGTGATAAGGTCATCATGTGCCAACTTCTCCTGACACTGACGTGGGCAATGACCCCACATAATCTGGTCAATCCACTGAGGTCATCAGGCTCACCTGTATCCCTTGAAAGAGAAGACCTCACTTGTGTTTGTCACTGCCAGCCAAGGTATGGTTGGCAGGTACGGGAAAGGGCCTTCTCTGCTATGGCACCCAAGTTATGAGACTCCCCACCCTAGCAGATCTGGCTGCCTGCGCCCTTGATATTAATAAGTTAACATTATCCTATCCTGTCAAATGCACTGCGGAAAAAAATAAATGTTTTCATATGCACGAGTCTCCCCACCTTAATTTTGGCTAAAAGCAGACAGTCTCTCCTGTCCTTATGGCCTTTGAGGTTTTCTGCTGCTCTCAGCCCTTTCATTGGCTACAATATTTCTCAACTCCCAACCTCCTCCATTCTCCTCTTCCAACTCTCCTTTCTCCAAGTTCTTGTTCTACATTGCTTGGCCTCCTTTGTTTCCTTCCACTTTTTATCTTCTCTGCCTGTCTTGTGGACCCTCTTTCCACTAAAATTTCCAGTACAGTGGTATCTCGGGTTACAGACGCTTCAGGTTACAGACGCTTCAGGTTACAGACTCTGCTAACCCAGAAATAGTACCTTGGGTTAAGAACTTTGCTTCAGGATGAGAACAGAAATTGTGCAGCGGTGGCACGGTGGCAGCTGGAGGCCCCATTAGCTAAAGTGATACCTCAGGTTAAGAACAGTTTCAGGTTAAGAACGGACCTCCAGAACGAATTAAGTTCTTAACCCGAGGTACCACTGTACTCAGTCTTCCTACCCATCCATATGCCTCTTCCTTTTACTAAACCCCACATGAGGGCTCTTTCAGATAAATTCAGCAGGTGCACGGATATTCAATACAATCAGAGTTGCTGCCAGGGCACGAGTCTTTCCCAGCCCTACCTGGAGATGCCAGGGATTGAACCTGGGAACCTTCTGCACGCAAAGCAGATGCTCAACCACTGAGTTTTAGCCATTGTCAGCCCCTGATCAGGTAGTATGTTAAATGCTTCCTATTCCATCTGGGGTTCCCCCAAAGCCATAGGTGTATTCACTTCTGACTCCCAGCACATGATTTCTGGTTCCTGACTTGTGCTACCTGATCCCTCCTACAAAACTCGAGAGCATATTACTACAGTGCAGATACTGCAAGAATATTGAGCCTGGATAGCTCAGTTGGTTAGAGCATGGTGCTGATAATGCCACGGTTGCAAGTTTGATCCCTAAATGGGACAGCTGCATATTCCTGCATTGCAAGGGGTTGGATCCGCGGGGTCCCTTCCAACTCTACAATTCTATGATTCAATGAATGAGTATTAAGAGTGTTTTGGAAGATCCCTGGACCTTGTGCTATGACTGTAGCCTGCAGGTTTGACAAACACCTTGAAGATCTGGACAGGTGTGTTGAAAGCTCAGGGTAATCTTTGGGGCCATCAGAACCACCACATTTGACCCAAAGGGATGCTCACACTTCTTAAGCAATTCCTGGTTGTTCTTATTGCTTGTTTGTGTTGCAAGTTCACCTTTTAAATATATGTGCTAAGTTCTTCTTTCTCCCCGCCTCCCCCCAATTTTTCCTCCCTCTTGCATCCAGTCTTATTAACCCGGTCAGTTGACCTGCATCATTCCAGCCTTGACAAAGATAGGCAGTGTGAACCTTAAACTGTCATAAACACTTATAAAAGGCGACCTTCCTCGCAATGCCCTGATGAGGCTTTGACAGAATTACACCCGTCATCTGATAAGCGCAGGTCAAAAGTCATGCAATTGCTTGCCTTTTTGTTTGGGTGTCAAAGAGCCCAAAAGCTTTCCATGTTTTAATAAGCAAATTAACCAAACACTTACAGAGCGGCAGTGTGTGTTAACTCATTGGCAGCTTGGGGATGTTGTTTTGTGGAAGACAAGCTCACCAGCCATTTCAGCCTGGAAGGCAAGCCATGATCTGATCCCCTCTCCAATAATAGGGTTACGGTCATGGAAAATAAGGGAATTGCCTTTTCTTTAGTTTTTTATTATTATTATTAAACAGACAGACAAACTCACAGAATACCTAAAGTTGATTCCTTGGTAGCCATGGATGTCTGGAAGGTTATTTGCTTAAGTAAGCATTGATAGCTGTTGGTTACTAGCTAGAGAGAGAGAGAGAGAGAGAGAGAGAGAGCGCTTGGGAGACCCTGGAGGGGAACAGCAGCCAACAGAAGAGAAATAAATTTTGCTGCATGTGCCAAAATGTCACCTTCTACACAACCATTAAGGGCACAGGAACTTTGTCCCTCCTTCATGTCTGATGATCTAGAATAATGGTCTCAGCTATGTCGGGAGAAAAGAGACCCGAGAAACCACAAAAAATAGAAACGATTCATTGTTTACACCAGGGTACCAACTTGAATAAAATATTGGGAAGGGGGAGACAGGTAAGTCCCTCCCTGCATAATTGATCACATGATGTGGCGCACACACGCCTTTTGAATGGCAATGCCCATCAACTTGGGGGGGGGGTGGAGACCCCTTGGCCCCTAGGAGTTGGCTCTCATGGTCTACACATGAGAATCAGTCCCTTGAAACCAAACCCCAAGAAGTATTGTTTGTTCCCCAAAACAAAGGAAGCAAGTATGTGATCTGGGGGTTCCTCTTGATCCTCTTGCTTGAGTTCCACATGGTCAGAGTGGCTTGGGACACCTTTTACCAGCTTCAGCTGGTGCCACATAATTGGACTTGGACAACCTAGCCATAGTGACACTTGGGGTTGTGTCCAAGGCTAGGTTTTCTCAGTATAGGCCCAGAGAAGTTAATGAACACAAGTACCTTAGTTTCATTCATTCTACTGGGTCAAATCTGAGTAGGACGAACATTGGACAAACAACCCACAAGTACATGCTGTTATATTCTTATGAGATCAATTGCAAATCTTTGTGTCTTTCTGAAGTCAATTGCAAACCTTGTGTGACACAGGCTATTAGTTATGACATTAAAGGTAAAGGGACCCCTGACCATTAGGTCCAGTCGTGACCGGCTCTGGGGTTGCGGCGCTCATCTCGCTTTATTGGCCGAGGGAGCCGGCGTACAGCTTCCGGGTCATGTGGCCAGCATGAATAAACCACTTCTGGCGAACCAGAGCAGAGCACGGAAACACTGTTTACCTTCCCGCCGGAGCGGTACCTATTTATCTACTTGCACTTTGACATGCTTTCGAACTGCTAGGTTGGCAGGAGCAGGGACCAAGCAACGGGAGCTCACCCCGTTACGGGGATTCGAACCGCCGACCTTCTGATCAGCAAGTCCTAGGCTCTGTGGTTTAACCCACAGCGCCACCCACGTCCCTGTTCATTATGGCATTAATTGCAAGCAAATATACAAGTTAACTTGTCAGAACCTATACATTAGTATTAGCAGTGCTTTTTCTGGTGGTACTCACTGGTATGCAGTACCAGCACCTTTTTTTCTCTGCTGGAGATGCTCAGCTGCAAGGGGAGGCATAGCTTGTGCAAATTCCCACTGGGGTCTGGCCACTGCCACCACCCATCCAGGGCCAGCTGAAGCGCAGAGTCCTCCTCCACGAGGAGTGTGGAAGTGGGCAGCGCAGCGTGACATGTGGCTCACGATGGTTGTGGCAGGGTGGGCTCAGGAATTGCCAGAAGTGCCAGAGTCATCAGAGCCCCCCATTTCCTCCACCAGTGCACTGACTATTAGTATTATTATACAAGAAGTACATGGTGTCTTGCTGAGTCACAGTTCTTTGCTCCTATGGAGCTTGCGAACTAAAATAGACATTGGGGAACAACAGACAGAGGGGCAGGTGAAGGATAGCATGGATTAAAGTTTTGTTTTGTTTTTAGAAAGTGCACAGGGTTGTGCTTTAATGTCCATCAAGAGGAATAAAAAAACTACATGGAATAGATTTTCCAAATCTGAAAAGCCCCACAGTGATTTCAGCAGGGTTCATGTCCTCTGCTAGGCACTGTTCTATATCTATATAGAAGGTGTGCAGCATAAGGTAGGGTGGTTTACTCTCTAGAAAGTGTGTTCAGGATTGCCTTATCCTTATCCACACACACACACACTTCTGGAAGGATGAGGGCCTGTTAGTTCCACTGCTTTGACTTAGTTCCCTTCCAAAATGAAATAAAAAACACGGAAAAACTGCCTTATTTACAAAAGCTATTAAAGTAATCTAAACCTCACATTAAGCTTTGCTGGCACAGCAGTTGGCTCAATCACAAACACATATTGCTGTCACTTAGATACGAGATAATTTACTATTTTTAAGATCTTATGGTATAGTGAGCTCCATCCTTCGTTTCCCCTCCCCTTCCTTTTTAGCACTCTGGGCTTTGAGAGTTGCGGTGCTGAGTTGCGGTGCTGAGGAGTCCTTCTATGTTATGATTTCAAGGCACAGCAATACCCCCACAATCCATTTATATAATGCAGGGATATTTTTTTTTTAAAAAAATAATTCTTTCTTTTATTGCAGCATTTTGCAAAATGAGCTCTTTCACTGTGGTTCCCTCAGCCTCATGCAAATCACGCATGAAGTGAGAGGGCGTGGTGAGGCTTGCTGGCCCCACCCTCTCTTTTTGCATGAGGCTTGGTGTAGCTTCATAGACGAGAGACTGCAGTGCAAATTAAGAAGTGCCTGGTTCGAATCTCGCCTCTATCTTAAACTCAGTAGCAAGCCACTCAGTTTCAGCCTCGGTTTCTCCATCCCACACCAGCAGTACAGGATGTACAATGACACCAGACTACTTTACAGGGGCGTTATAAGGATTGCAATGAGACAATGTACATGAAACTCACTGGAAAGTACCATAACCACATGTGAAGTATTGTTGGGATTAGGTGTGCAACACTAATCAACATGATTGGAATGACTCAGCAGTGTGCAAATGACTTGCTGTAGTACAAACAAATGATTCAGCATAGTTCACTAAAAAATGACTCAGCATAGTGCAAAAAAGGCAGCGCTTCCTAGGGTAAGCATGAATTCAATTAGCGTGCACATTTAATTTTTATTATATGCAAAGAAAAGTTGTGTGGAAAGCTTGGGTAGCCTGAGGACTGGTGTGTGTGTGTGTGTGTGTGTGTGTGTGTGTGTGCGCAGACAGGAGGTTTTTTTATCTCCCTGTTACAGTCATGACAAAAAATATATATGTATCTTTGATAATGAAAGTTGCATTTCAAGAGAAACCTCAAGTGTGGATTCCTTTGAAATACAAAGAACAGCTTCAGAGAGCTGGTTGTCGTCAGGGCTGTGGAAGAAGGAAGATAAAGTTGACCTTCTGCTCCACCCTCCACAGTCCTGCAACACAACTGCTTTTACAAAAAAATAAATCAAAATATGCATTTTCACTCAGTTACGACCATGTCTCACAGACCTTACTAATTGGAGAACTTTGCATGCATGTAAATAGTGTGCTAGATGGGGGAGTCAGAAATGAATCTCAGCCATAAGGACTTTCTAATGTTGGTACATAAGAACATAGGAAGCTTCTGTTTATTGAATCAGACCATTGGTCCACCTGGCCTTCCTGTGCTTACAGAAAAGCCCAGCTGTGAATGTTATGAACATATGCACATAGGAAGAGCCTCCTGGATCAGGCCCATCTAGTCCAGCATTCTTTTCTCAAAGCGGCCACCCATTTCTCTGGGAAATCTGTAAGCAGAATGTGCACAAGAGCACTTTCCTCTTCCATGTTTCCCAGCAACTGGTCTTCAGAGGCATTGCTGCCTCAAACACTGGAGGCAGAGTATCACCATTGTGGCTGGTAGCCATTGATCATAGAATCATAGAATGATTGAACTGTAGAGCTGGAAGGGACCCTGTGGATCATCTAGTCCATGGGTTGGGAAACTAAGGTCTGCAGGCTGGATCAGGCCCAATTGCCTTCTGGATCCGGCCCACGGATGGTCCGGGAATCACCACATGGATCGCCAGTATGTGTGCATTCTTTCCCTCTCCCTCCCTCACATGGCGGCGCTGCCGGTGCCCCTCCCTCCTCCTGGCTTCACCCTGCCCTGCCTAGAGAAGGAAGGGGGCTGGGCTTTATTGATGCCAGCAGCAGCAGCGCTCAAGCAGCCGCCATTTTAAGCAGCCCCTCTCCAGAGTCCTTTCGCACGCTGCTCATCGTCCCGCCGCTGCCGCCAGCCCCTGATGCTTGCAAGACACAGGTAAGCAGCCACCAGGGCTCGTGGTACTCTTGCATCATCCCCTCCCCCCAAATAGTCCGGCCCGCCACAAGGTCTGAGGGTCAGTGGACCGGCCCCCTGCTGACAACTGAATTCTAGTCCAATCCCCTACAATGCATAAATCTGCAGCTGCCCCATATGGGAATTGAACCTGCAACCTTGGCGTTATCAGACCTCACTCTTAACCAACTGCGCTATATAGCTTATGGGACTTGGGGGAGGTGGCAGACTGCAGAGCGCTGGAGAGATGATTTGCAGAGCGAAAGAAAAGACATTCAGAAACACCCCTTGGACACCTTGAATGTAAGAGAAACACCAGAATTTCAAAAACACTCTTTACCCCAAGCATGAGTATTTTGCTGAAACTTTCCCCTTTCCTCCCCCCGCCCCGCCTGCCCCAGTGCAATTTATTTTCTGAGAAATTAGATGGAGACTGCTCAGATGGTAAGGATGTAGGGGGGAATTTTTCTGCACAGCACTTGCTAGCCCTGAATAAAAGGCAACATTTCTCCAGTATTTTTCTGCAACCGGAGAAACAACCACAAGAATGCGCATCTGACCTTCACTGACACAATTAATGCAGCTATTATAAAGGATTAACACTGTGTATGCACAACAAAAAAGGTTATTGACTGCCATTAAGCGGTAACACCTTTCTGAACAGACAGAACTCATTGCACATCAGTCCAGGATATGCTTGACTGGAAGCACTGGGTAAAATGCTAAATTATAAATCTACCATGAAGAACATTGATGTTCCACAGAGGACAGACCCTGATGCCCAGGGACACATAACAAACAGTTGGAGACATTGATTCAAAATGTCCAGAGAATTACTTGTGTTCAATGGTGCCCAGAGAGGGAGATTACAGACAACTGCATGATGCAATGAATAATAGGACTGCCAAGCACAGGGGTGAATTTCTCAGAGCTTCAGAAAGAATGGTTGACAAATCTTTACCCTGGAGAAACACACATCATGCACTCTGTTGACTGGCAGCTCTTGCCTGCTGGGACCTGCGTTACAACCCCCCAAAGTCAAAACCACTTTGGAGAAATTTTGCATAGGGCATTAGGGAAGAGTGTTCTAGGATTCCTCTTGAAGGTTGGGATGATCAGATCAACATACCATTAGACAGAGTGACACAGCTGCCATAGATGGGAAATGTTGCTTTTAGTGGTGCCAGTACAATGGAAATAGCCCTTACCTTCCTCTCCTCCTCCCATGACCCCTGCTATGCTCTGGGGGTTCCCTCAACCCATGGGGGACAATTTGGAGTAGGTGGGAGGAAATGGAGGGGGAGTTCCATTGTTGCACAAGCAACAACTTGAACTAAATAGGGGAGGGGGCCCTCCTGCCCTTCTTCCATCTCCTTGCACTTCTGCGGAGCGCACCTTCCTCCGCTGTGTGCAACTGAACACAAGCTTCCCCTTCCCCCCAACCCTCTTGCCACTTGCCCCCCTGCCCGTGTGCAAGACGTTTCTGCTGACTCACTTCCCACATCCACATCCATGCACCACCTGCTCACCTCTTCTCCTGGTTTGCCTGCCTGCCTCTCCCCAGCTGCCCCAACTCAGATGTGCTCAGAAATGGTACCCAAAGCTGGGGGTCCAAGCTAGGAAAAGAGGGTGGCGGTGTCTGGCTGGGGGAGGGAAGTGGCTGCCTGAAGGAAGAAGTAGGTACCAACCTGCAGAAAATATTGTGGGGCCGAACCCCTAAACATTTTATTGGTGGGGCAGAGGGACCAGGAGGGCCCCTTAGAGTTGGCGCCTATGATTGTGGAAGCAGAAGCCATTCCACCCGGGGCAGTCTGTTCTGTTTCCTTAAAAAGGTAAGGGGACCCCTGACCATTAGGTCCAGTCATGGCTGACTCTGGGGTTGCGGCGCTCATCTCGCTTTATTGGCCGAGGGAGCCGGTGTACAGCTTCCGGGTCATGTGGCCAGCATGACTAAGCCGCTTCTGGTGAATCAGAGCAGTGCAGGGAAACGCCGATTACCTTCCCGCCGGAGCGATACCTATTTATCTACTTGCACTTTGACGTGCTTTCAAACTGCTAGGTTGGCAGGAGCAGGGACCGAGCAACGGGAGCTCACCCCGTTGCAGGGATTCGAACCGCCGACCTTCTGATCGGCAAGCCCTAGGCTCTGTGGTTTAACCCATAGCACCACCTGCGTCCCTTACTTGAGGTGAAATTGGAAAGTGCCATCTCATCGCCCCTGCTGAAGCGCAGCAGCATCCACTTGGAAGCGGTAGCAGGTTCCAGCGAGATCTCACAAGATCTTGTGGCGCTCTCACAGGATCTCATAGAGCACACAACATTCCATAAGAGCTCAGTGAGATTTTGATGTCGTCTCACTGGACGCTGCCAATGCTGCCATCACCATTGCTTTCCTGCTGCCAGTGGGGTGAGTGGGTGGGGGTTCTACCACCTGAGGCGGCTGCAGCAGCCCACCACATGCTTGGGGTGGCCCTGCATTCCACTCACACAATGATTTAACTGGATCCAACCCCTTGCATTTGTCAGGCTTTGGTCTCCTATTTTCCAGTACAGTGGTACCTCGGGTTACAGATGCTTCAGGTTACAGACGCTTCAGGTTACAGACTCTGCTAACCCAGAAATAGTACCTTGGGTTAAGAACTTTGCTTCAGGATGTGAACAGAAATTGCGTGGTGGCAGCGCGGCAGCAGTGGGAGACCCCATTAGCTAAAGTGTTGTCTCAGGTTAAGAACAGTTTCAGGTTAAGAACGGACCTCCAGAACGAATTAAGTTCTTAACCCGAGGTACCACTGTAGGCCATAAAGATACAATTCCAACCAGACCAGTAATAGGCAGACCCCTCTACCTTTGCACGGGCATGGGAAGAGCTTCACCTGCTTAATTTCTACCTGCCATGCTCCAGTTAAGAGCATCAGAATAGGGCTGGTTAAAAGCATTACCATTTATTTATTTTTGTGCCAAAGTAAGATGTGCTTTGTGTTACAATTGCACAGTTGTTCACGTACCAGGGCTAAAATGTGTTTGCAAACTGCCCATTGCGTATTGCAGCTCCAGATAATCTAACGCAGCTGCAGAGTACCTGTAGCTTCTGGAAAGTCATATTTCAACAATTAAATACAAGCTTGCCAGGTTTCGATGTTAGATCCCCAATCTGCTGACAATTACAAGAGATAGTCCTGTACTGCTTAATGTATTTCAGTCAAACCGCGGAGAGCCTTGTCTTCTAAATTGAAGCTCCGCTCTTCTCTGTCTCAAGGACGGCGCTTCGCCTTTCAGAAGCTTTTAAACAGCGCAATCTTTTGGATTAAAGACAGCATGTCAAGGCAGACTTATTAAATGGCAGTTTGTTACAAATTTGAAAATCGGCATGTAGGTTTCGTGGAAATATATCATATTCTCTCTACTGAGCCAGCAAGAAAGAAGAAGGAAGAGGAGGAGGAGGAGAAGAAAGCAAGAGAAAAATTCACTCAACTCCCCAACGCAACCGTTAATAACAACAGACATTGCAGGTGCTGCTATTATACGCCAGAGATAAGTTAAGAATGCTCGTAACATTCAGTTCAGGGGTGGGGAATCTCAGGCCTAGGGACCCCAAAAGACCCTCTAGAACTTTCCTCAGGATGCACCCTTCGCTGACCTTGCGTCACACCCCAAGTGCTTCTGCCTGCCTGGAATGTGTCCTTGGAATCTGATAAAGCGTCTTGCTTGTCTGGATGGAAAAGGGTGTGTGAGAATGTGTGTAGAAACTAGCCTACTGTAGAAAGATGAACTTTACATTTGCTGCTTCATTCTATTTTTGCTTCTGGCGCCAACCACCATGGGAATGTGGTGCTTACAATCTAAAAGATGGCCAGGAAACAGCAGAGGAAGGAGTTAAAAATCACCTGTCATTCTCCTCATAGGAATGTAGGAAGCTGCCATTGGTCCATCTAGCTCAGTATTGTCTACACTGACTGGCAGTGGCTCTCCAAGGTTTCATGTGTGTGTTTCTCTCCCAGCAGTACTTGGGAATGTCAGGGACCGAACCTGGGACCTTCTGCATGCAAGGCAGAAGCTCTTCCACTGATCTACAGGCCTTCCTGCTAATGCCTTGAACAGATATAGTCCAAAGAGGCTATTTTATGGGAGTGTGCAGGGACTCTGTAACCCATGTTAAGTTCAGGTGTGAGAGAGGGCAAAATTAAAATATAAAATTAGGGATCCAGAATGCAATTTTCCACTAGCAACCACCAGCATTGGCTAGAATTGGGGAACTTGCTGTCTTCTGAACATCTGTGCTCAAGAAATACCCTGGTTTTGTGAAGAGACCAACCCTGTTGCAGCCTGGCATTTCAGATATGCTACATAATTTGGTGACTGCTTCCATATTCCACTTGGATATACCCACAAACCTACCTTCAAACACCAGACTTTTCCAGAATTTGGTGGCTATTCTATTCAAATTTGACATGGTGGCCTTGGGGCATGGGTCATAGGTGACAGAGGTGGTTCAAAATTGGGTCTTTCCATCCTCTTAAGCCTGCACTTCATCAGAGTGGAAGACAATATGGACTCAATTAGGTAGTCACTGTAGAGAAAATTGGGCTTTCAGAAAGTCTGTTTCTGAGAAGCAATTGTGGTACATGAGGGCACATAGGTTTAGAGACGGTGAAGTGTCCCAATGTAATATTTCATGTGGACAAGGTCTGTACAGGTGTCTCTTTGATTTAGTGTGAGTGGATGTGAGATAAAGCCTCTTCGCCTTTACTCTGGGAAACATCCTTACTCAGGAAAGTCCTTTAAACATTTACATATGCTTAAGATGGACATAGGTTAATTGCTTTCCCGGTGTTAAGACCTGCATAAAGAATGAAGATTCCAGCAGATGTTCTCAGCCTGTCCCTCACATTTCCAAGAGTCAAAGGGGTTTCAAAACTTATAACTTTTGATAATTCACCAATAATTCTAATCAAATATAAGCTTTTATATCTGCCATGGAATCTCAAATGAAGGGACAGCCTCTCAAATGCATGCAAAACTTGTTTTGTTCCCTGCTTCAACAATGACAAGGTCAATGCATTTTCACAAGAAAACAAATACATGGATGAAAATATTACAAATGAAGAACCAAAGAGGCATTGGGAGATTTTGGCTTTCACTATATTGGAAGAGGACTGATGATCTTCCCAAATCCATGGAGGGAGAGATCTCATATGTAGCCACAACCCTAGCTTGACCTTAGTGAGCCAATGCTCTGGTAGCCCTTCCAGTTAGACTACCCTAAAGCACTCTATCTGGGACTGCCTTTGAAGATGGTTTGGTAACTGCAGTGGACTCAGAATGTGGTAGCTGCATTATTAAGAGGAAGTGGATGTTTTGCTGGTGCTAAGCAAGTTGCATTGCCCAAGTCAAATGACTGGTTTTAAACTTTTAAGGCCCTTTAGAACCTAGGACCTAGATTCATTCTTGGCCATTGGGCCAGATACAGTATAATATATAAATCATGGTGTCCATGTATTTTATTTTATTTATAAATATTGTCATGATGGATACAGGCAACTAATGCAAGAAGTGAAACCAGTCAAATTCAAACTTAAATGTAGATATGAAGTGAGAGGAATCATCTCCATATTTCCTCATTTCTGGTTCTCTTAATTTCATATCATGCATCATCTCTAATTAGTTCAACAAAGCCTAACAAGGCAAATGGACCATAATTCATCATGATTTTCATATCTCAAATAACAGCCAGTTTTTTTATTAAAAAAACACAAACCAAACAAACACAGAAATACATCACAGTCTTTATTTTTGAATGTCACTGGAAACGGGAATTGTCAAAACTGAAGTTTCTAAGGACATAGAGATGGTCAAGGTAAGATGGTGGCAGCTTAGTCATCTGCATCTTCCTGACAAAATGTAAGGAAAATTTTATTGCATATTTACCTGTTTACACATTAGGCGCAGAGACATACCTACGGGTTGGCAAAATTGGCCCTTGCTGGGGGCACAGACTGAAGGTGGGGAGTGTATTATGTATATGCGTATTGTGGTGAGATCAGACACAGGAGAAGCTTCCATTCTTTCTCACACGCTGGCACAAAGGTTTGCAGTAAAGTGACTTTTTCTGGGGAGGGGTACAGCTCCTTGCCAAGGGCCCAAGGAATCCTAGGTATGCCTGTGATCAGACATGGAGATGTAGAAGAATGTATGGTAAAAAGGGATGGGCAGGCAGTATTTCTGTTGTAGAGTACAAGTTTTGTGTACAAACGTTCTGCATGTCACGGCAGAGCTGAGAAAACCTCCCCTCTGGAGATCCACTGTCAATCAGTGTAAACAGCATTGGGCTACAACCAGTGGCCCTCCAGGTGTTGCTAGTGTACAACTCTCATCATCCTTGACCACTGTCCATTCTGGTTGGGGCTAACGTGAGTTGTAGGCCCCTGAGTCCTGAGATGTGGCTGGACTGCAGTTCCCACCATTCCTGACCATTTGGCCATGCCAGCTGGGGCTGAATGATGGTGGAGTCCAACAACGTCTGGACAAACACAGGTTCTTCAACCCTGAGCTAGATAGACCAAGTGTCTGACCCAGTATAAAGCAGCTTCCTATGCTTTTGTGGTCATCTGTATGGGCTCCCTGTAACTATAAGAGACGGAGACAGCTAGAGTAGGGGTTCCCAACTTTTTTAGTCCCATGGGCATGCTTGGATTTTTGAGTGCTTGCCATGGGCACCAACTCCTCTGGTCTCATCTCTCCTTCCAACTCTTTGTTATAAACCTGGGTCGCCACCCCCAAGAGACAGGAAGAGGGTGCAAACACTTCCTTTGCTTTTCCAAGGGCTGTTGGTAACAGAATTAATCTACCCATGAAAAGACGATAGAGGTGAAAGAGGAAGTGGGAAAGAATGTCACTCTTCCAACTTCCTCCTTCAGCTCTATGTACTATTCACAGGAGGAAAAGTTAACCACCCTCATCAGCTAATAACCAATGGGTGTGTGTGTGTGTGTGTGTGTGTGTGTGTGTGGCGGGAGGCTTTGAGGTTTTGTGGGCTGAGTGTGTCATTGCACCCATGGGTGCTACATTGGTGACTCCTGGGCTAAAGGTTGGTGGCAGCGGCAGTTAATTCTGCTACCACTTGTATCACCTATTTTGACCTCAGTTGTACCTTCTTCTTTATCTTTGCAACCCTCCCGATCACATCAAATTTTATTGTCCCCTCACAGCTTCTGTATGGAGAACAGAACCAGAAGGGGAAGTTGTTTGAACAATCAGTGTTCCAATATCATTATTACCTATTAAAAAGTTAAGGTCCATTCTGAAATGACAGTTATAAATAAAGCATTTCCAATAATAGGAAAGAAACAGAGTGTTGCATCCAAGGAAATGTCTGAAGAGTTGTGTTTTTTTTAATGATTTCTTTTAATGAGTTTCCTATGGAATTCTCTTTTGGCATCGACAGTCTTGTTTAGAAAGTTGAACTTTCCATCATGCCAGCCCCTCCCACCAGCTCGGTATGTAGCTCTCATACCAAGCTTAACACTGCAGTCATCGTTTGCAGAAGTCATTTAGCTTGGGGAAGGGTTGTAGCTCAGCACACAGGAACTCAGGAAGCTGCTTAATACTTTTGGGTGCATTCCCATCTCTACCTGGAGATGCTGGTGCTTGAACCCGAGACCTTTGGTATGTAAAGCAGGTGCTCTATCAATGAGTCGTGACCCTTGCTGCAACAGAAAGTTGCCTTCTGCTGAGTGAGATGATTGGTCCACCTAGTTCAGTATTGTTTACACAGACTGGCAGCAGCTCTCCAGGGTGTCAGACCAGGGTCTCTCCTAGCCCTAACTGAAGATGCTAGAGATTGAACCTCAGACCTTATCCGATCCTAAGGTAACATACCTTAAGGAAGTTCATGAAAGGAACATTTCTTCCTGTCTCCAGCAGGCAGGTTCTCACACTGTTCAGAACTATCCCCTGACCCCTTTGGAAAGGCTTTTCAGGAATTTCAGGGATAAAAAGGGGAGAGGAATCTTCCTTTCCGTGAAGTGTCTTGAACTGACTTGCCTCAGAAGTTGGGCCTCTCATTCAAAGCGTTTCATTTCCACTATTTCAATAAATCCTTATAACAACCTTGTAAGGTAGGTCAGTGTTGTTATCCACATAGATAGGTGCATGTAGTGATTACAGTGTCAGGCTAGGACCTGGGAGACGAGGGTTCAAAGCCCCACCCATGAAGCCATGAAGGTCACTGGGTGACCTTGGGCCAGTCACTGCTTCTTAGCCTAAAATCTATAGCTCAAAGTGTTGTTTGGGATAAAATGAAAAGTGGGGAGAACCACACCATGAGCTTCTTGGATGAAAGGTGGCATAGAAATGCAAATACCGTATTTTTCGCTCTATAGGACACACCCGACCATAGGACGCACCTTGTTTTAGAGGGGGAGAACAAGAAAAAAAATTCTCCCCCTCTCTGCTCAGCGCCCCTTCAGCGAAGCGGCAGGAGAAACGGAGCCCCTTCCAAGGTGCGTTCAGTGCGTTCAAGGTGCATTCAAGGTGCGTTCAGTCGCCTTCAGTGAAGGCAACCCAAAGCCTTCACACCAAAGGCTACACACAGCCTTCCCGCTGCTTCCCGAGCTTGTGGGGCTGGTGGTGGGGAAAGCCCGGCTTTCCCCCACCCCAGCCCCAAAGAGCAGGTCGGGGCTGGCGGGGAAGCCTGCCCCCCCAGCCCCATGGACCACACATTTGCTCCATAAGACGCACAGACATTTCCCCTTAGATTTTAAGAGGGAAAAAGTGCGTCTTATGGAGCAAAAAATATGGTAAATAAATAAAAACAACATGGGAGTGAAGAAACTGGGTCAACAGTGGTCTGCCTAAGGCTGCCTAGTGATTTCATGGCAGAGGTGTTATCAGAACCAGAGTTTGCGCACTTTACATCTATCAGCTCCAAACAATGTAAAGAATCTGTAACCAATATTTCCCAGACTTTTTCTTCTTCTCCTAGGTAATTCCCCTTCTTCCTGTTAGCAACAGTTGGTGGCTGATTTTGCCCTGCGGCACAGCAATAATTTACATCCTTCATTCATGTTTTATCCTCTCTCGAT